GTCCCCGAGTTACACGGATCCGACTTATGTTGGATCCGCAGTTACGAACGGGGTTTGCTGCCCGTCTCCCTGGTCTGGGGAGATGTGGAGCAAAGCTGCGGAACACGCGGGCAGCAGACAGCCCAGACGCGCCACGGCTGTCCCGCTGCCGGCGTCTTCAGAGGCTTTGCTTCCCGTCTCCCTGGTCTGCTGGTCTCCAGCGGACCAGGGAGAAGGGCAGCAAACCCCGTTCGTAACTGCGGATCCGACATAAGTCGGATCCGCGTAACTCGGGGACTGCCTGTAATAGTAAATATTAAAAAAATAAGAGTTTCAAGGGATATTAATTTTTTTTCTGGTCTTAATCCCACAGCTCATTATTGAGGGCTAAATGGAAACTCTCTTGGGGCCATAGGTTAAAGCTAGTGATGTAATAGCGTAGTCGATTAACCGATAAGCAAAACCTTATAGGTTAATGCTATAGAATACATGCACCACTCTGCCCCTCCCCCCCATTTTTTAGCAGGCTGACCAGCAGCCAACTCAGTCCTGGCTTGCAACAGGTCCGGGACCTACCCCTACTGAGACTCTGCATTTTAAGTGCATTAGGAGGCAGGCAGCCCGCCCAGCTCAGTTCCGGCTTGTATTGGGTCCAGGAGTCAGCCCCTCCCCTGGACAGGGGCTGCTGCCACCCTGTGCTGCTACCTCTGTATCAGAGGCAGCAATGTGGGGCAACAGGCAGCCAGTCTGGGAGGGGAGCTAATTTTTAAGTGGGCTTCCCTCGTGGACCAGCTCCCGCCTGGCACCCCATGCTGCTGCCTCTGACAACAAGCCTCTGGCAACAGTGTGGAGTGGCAGGGGACTCCTCGGGAGTGGTTGCTGGCCCTGGCCCCGGGGACTATAGAAGACTTGAGTAACCAATAAGAATTCATGAGGTCAATCAACTATTCAAATAACCGATATTTAACATCCCTAGTTAGAGCAAGAAATAACTTAATGCAGAAGAGCAGGATTAAATGTTTATATAATTATGTCCATTTAAAACCCATAACCTATTCCGTTTGTACTACAAGCTTGTTTTGGCTTTAAAAAATTCTCATTGCCACTATATTAAAGTAGTGCTAACCTCTGTCCTGTGGAGTTGTGTCTCATGTTTTCATTGGAACAAGTGAGAAAGCAAGTGCTGTATCTGCTTGTGTTATTTCTTAGGAAGTGTTTGAGATGTGCTTGTTTTCTCCATCTTTTGTTGGGATGAGCCGTGAGAGGATCTCTGGAGCTCTACTGTGCTCATTACTGTGGCATCTATCTTTCTCTGAGTTTTGTAGTTTTACAGGTTTGTGAAAGTGATGTGACTCAAGAGTCTAAAACAACAGCACACTCCACAGTGTTGAGAGAAGAGACAGGGAAATGAGTAGGGAACGCTATTTTAACGGCCTTCAAATTTAGTAGAAAAAAACCATAGATTAGGGTTTGGTTTGGTTTTTTTAAACAACATAGCTGCACTAGTTTGGCATTCTACTGAATAAAACAAAGCTTTTTAACTAGCCTGCATATGCGAAGCTCAGACGGTGGTTTATATTTGATTGGTGAGTTTTGTTTTCTTGTTTGTTATTTACTGTTATTTAAATCTACTACATATTTGAGAGAGTTTTTCCTGTATTTCAGTCTGTCTGTCTGTCCAAGAACTCCTCTAAAACAGTAAGAGCCAGGACCACAAAATTAGGTAGACAGCTTCCTCTTAAAATGTGAAGAAAGATAAGAGTTTGGTTGTGCAAGGAAAATGGGTTATGCCTGGAATGGGATTCTTCTCAGAAAACCAAACAGGAAAGAGACAGAATCACCAAGGTGAAAGGGGCTGGCTGGGGGCACTCCCCCCAAATGTGGGACTGGCCCAGCCCCTAACCTTCAACCCTCCAGTCACCCTTTAGGGCAGGTGGAGGGGCTGAAGCTCCCCCTCCCATCAACCCCATTCATACAGAAACACTGCTGGCTGTTCCCCTTAATGGAGAGAAAGGGGAAGTGCACAGTTTGCTGCATTCCTCACTCTGGCTGAGAAGGGCAAGGGCGCAGATTAATCTGGACCTGCCCCAGCTGGGGGACATGCACCCCTCTTTTGGCCGTGGCCATTGGAGGTGCAGTAGCCATGGAGAGGCGCTTCCCATCTGGCCTCAAGCTGCTGTGATGAAAGAGAGGTCTGGGGTTGTCCTCTCTCCCTGTAGCAGCCTGCACCTGAACCCTCCTCCCCAGCACCACCCCAGAGCACTGATTCAAACAAAGAAAAACAAAAAGTAATTGAGTGAAGGACCCAAGCAATGCCAGGGAAATCTTCTAGGTTCCTATAAAGTCAAACACCAGGAAGGAAAGAAGTTTAGATTACTTACCTACCGCGCTCTGGAGTGGAGAGGGAATTCAAGCTGCTTACAGCCAACCCTGCCTAAGTCAATGATATGTCAGTCCCTTACGGGATCATTTAAGAGTATTCTACACTTATAGCATCTCTTTGCCACATGTACCAGCAACAGTCAGTCTGTCAGGCTTATCGGTACATTAAAAAACAGTTCCACTCCAGTACAGTATTGTTAGGGATGTCTACATGTGGAATTTGTTTAATCTTGAGACAAACACCTCACAGATTCAAAACAATTAGAAATTATGCTTCCCCCTTTCCCCTCAAAAAAGCAACCGCTGTTTTTTTTGGAAATAGCGAGTTACAGCCACAAAGAAGCAAAGAACCGAGAAGGAGAAAGACAGAGAGAAAATTAACTTTTGTCCTTTGAGAAGCCTAAGATATCAACAGAAATAAAAAACCCAGGAAGCAACGAGCGATCAACCTCGGTGAATGTGGCACAAATCAATACAGCAGAGCCTAAATAACACCTACTTTTTAAAACAGATTCTAACCTCCGAGCTTGTAAGAGCTGCTGGCAAAGGGAGGATGGCTGAGAAGAGTTGAACACAGTTGTTCCATTATCAGAATCTACATTTTTATTTTGAAACATACCTTGGGTTTGGGACTCCTATCACAAGACGTTCACAACATAAGGTACCATTCTATTTAAGGCAAAGAGTCAAAATATCCCAGAAAGAAGGGAAGTCGCTCTCACCAGCTATTAAGTCACTTTCAAGGTCCAATTTGATCCCTTCATGCACCAATGATGGGGAAGAAGTCAAATGCAGGAAGGTGAAGTCTGCCAAAGACAACATTTGGAGGAAGGGAAACTTAATAAAAGGGAGGGCAATAACAGGAGATTTTATCCAGGCCTTGCCTTACATTTTCCTTTCTTGCAGTAATGAGGTCTACAGATCCACGCAGGGATGGAGGCAGGGCAGACCAGATAAGTCAATCAGTGGCAGGAGAGGTGTGGCGCCCACTGTGAGAAACGTAGTGGAGACATAGCCTAGGAAATCTCTAGCCGAAACGTAGTGGAGACATAGCCTAGGAAATCTCTAGCCACTCTGCGTTGGCAAGAAATATTCGACACCGACACCACACCGAGCAAACCTCTGGCAGAGCAAGGAATTCAATGAACCACCACCCTTGAGTGCCAATTACTAATCCAATTGTTTTCTCTAATTATCAGCCCATTCAGGGTGGGTAGGATCTGTGGACCTCATTACTCTAAGGCAGGAAATGTTCAGGGAAGGAACAGATACATTTTCCTAGTGTGATCTGTAATGAGGTTTACAGATAGATCCATGACACTGAGATTTCCTAGCACTATCCACTCCTGGGGAACGTGTCTCAGTTATGGAGAGCTGTGAATGAGAGGACCCTTCCCCTAATGGTCACTGGTACTCTAGAACAGGGGTCTCCAAACTACAGCCCGCGGGCCAGATGCGGCCCGCGAGGCCCTCTCATCCAGCCCGTGGAAACCTTTTTGTCTGGCCCCGCCTTCTTCCGCGTGCCGGCGAGATTATCCCTGAGGCGCTTGAGTCCGAGCATTGGTGTCAGCGGGAGAAACGGATTCGCAGGCAGCTGCGCGAGGCCCCAGCGCGCGCACGGGACAGCAGGTAGCCCAGGTCAGGAACGGCTCCGCGTGCCGCTTGGCCGGGCGGGCGAAAAAGGGGGGTCTCGAAGGCGGGCTCCGGATCAGACCCAGCGGCAGAGGATCGCAGGAGGCTGGACGGAGAGGAGGAAACCCGACGGTGGTTTCTCAGGGGCTAGGAGCGAGGGGCTACTTCTCCGGGGGCGGGGCTGAGGAGCTGGTGCCCATTGCAGGAGGCGGTCTGGTTGCTGTGGCACAATGATAACGTGTCTGCTTTCAAACCAGCTTTTCCCATTAAAATGCATGCCCCTTGTTCCATGAGGCTATGTTACAAATTGTCACCTCATTCCCTGCATGATAGGAGAGCGATCACATCTCTTCAAGTGTGAGTGTCTTAGGCTGAACATATTGAACCACCCCCAATTTCAAACAGTGATTTCTAAAGCCAGAAATGTCTGCTATTTTGGCATCCAGGAAACAATTTCACCATTCACACTAATACAGGTGTTCATGTGTAGTGTATCAATGTGTTATTAAATAATAACTGAATAAAATAATATTAAATAAATAATTAAAAACAACATCCATGTTTTGATTGTTTTTTATTTGGACCTCAAGTGTGTAGTCGGCCCCCGAACTGCTGTTTGATAGTTAATGCGGCCCTCGGGCAGAAAAGTTTGGAGACCCCTGCTCTAGAACAAGGAGCAGCAATCAACCAAAAGCAGCCTCATATCACGACTAGATTAACAGCTTGAGGAACTTGGAGAAAGTAGGAGCAGCTGAGTCAGCGGCTGCTTTATGGATTTCCTTGTAGGAGACATATGATCTTTCTGTCCACGAGACTGCCACCGCTCTCAAAGACCCAGTTCTGATTTTGGAGGGTGGACGCGTTTAGACTTGGATGCCTCTGGGATACAAAATGTTAGTCATCTGGAAACTAAAGATTTTGAAACCTTCTTTCCCTTTGACACCAGATGACAAAATACAAACAACGTTGGTCTTTCTGAACTGAGCTGTGTGGTTAAAAAGACAAGAAACAAAGGGTAGGAATAAATGGTCAGTCTTCCGAGTGGCGACAGGTAACTAGTGGTATCCCCCAAGGGTCTGTCCTGAGACCCATCCTATTCAACTTACGAATAAATGATCTAGAGAAAGGGGTAAACAGTGAAGTGGCAAAATTTGCAGATGATCCCAAACTGCTCAAGATAGTTAGGACCAAGGCAGACTGTGAAGAGCTTCAAAAAGATCTCATCAAACTAAGTGACTGGGCAACAAAATGGCAAATGAAATTGAATGTTGATAAATGTAAAGTAATGCACACTGCAAAAAATAATCCCAACTATACATACAATATGATGGGGACTAATTTGGCTACAACTACTCAAGAGAGCAATCTTTAGAGCCATTGTGGATAGTTCTCAGAAAACATCCACTCAGTGTGCAAAGGCACGCAAAAAACACAAATAGAATGTTAGGAAACATTTAAAAAGTGAGAGAGAATAAGAGAAATATCTTATTGCCTCTCTATAAAACCATGGTGCTCCCACATCCTTAATACTGTGCAAAGGATGTGCTCGCCTCATCTCAAAAAAGATATATTGACATTGGAAAAGGTTCAGAAAAGGGCAAGAAAAATGCTGAGGGGTTTGGAACAGGTCCCATATGGAGAGAGATTAAAAAGACTTGGACTTTTTGGCTTAGAAAAGAGTGGAGATATGACTAAGGGGGGATATGATCGAGGTCTATAAAATCATGACTGGTGTGGAAAAAGTGAATAAGGAAAAGTTATTTACTTATTCCCACAATATAAGAACTAAGGGTTACCAAATGAAATTAATAGGCAGCAGGTTTAAAACAAATAAAAATAAATTTTTCTTCACCCAGTGCACAGTCAACCTCTGGAACTCCTTGCCAGGGGATGTTGTGAAGACCAGGACTTTAACAGGGTTCAACAAAGAACTAGACAAATTAGACCATTGGAGAAATTGTCTGAGGTAAACAGGATGAAGTTTAATAAAGACAAATGCAAAGTGCTCCACTTAGGAAGGAATAATCAGTTTCAAACATACAGAATGGGAAGCGACTGTCTAGGAAGGAGTACAGCAGAAAGGGATATAGAGGTTATAGTGGACCACAAGCTAAATGAGAGTCAACAGAGTGATGCTGTTGCAAAAAAAAGCAAACATGATTCTGGGATGCATTAACAGGTGTGTTGTGAGCAAGACACAAGAAGTCATTCTTCCACTCTACTCTGGTAGGCCTCGGTTGGAGTATTGTGTCCAGTCCTGGGCACCACATTTCAAGAAAGATGTGGAGAAATTGGAGAGGGTCCAGAGAAGAGCAACGAGAATGATGAAAGGTCTAGAGAACATGACCTATGAAGGGAGGCTGAAAGAATTGAGTTTGTTTAGTTTGGAAAAGAGAAGATTGAGGGGGGACATGATAGCAGTTTTCAGGTATCTAAAAGGGTGTCATAAGAAGGAGGGAGAAAACATGTTCATCTTGGCCTCTGAGGATAGAACAAGAAGCAAGGGGCTGAGACTGCAGTAAGGGAAGTTTAGGTTGGACATTAGGAAAAAGTTCCTAACTGTCAGGGGGGTCAAACACTGGGATAAATTGCCCAGGGAGGTTGTGGAATCCCCATCTCTGGAGATATTTAAGAGCAGGTTAGATAAATGTCTATCAGGGATGGTCCAGACAGTACTGGGTCCTGCCATGAGGGCAGGGGACTGAACTCGATGACCTCTCGAGGTCCCTTCCCGTCCTAGTATTCTATGATTCTATGAATGGAGGTTAGGTCCATCACCGGCTATTAGCCAGGATGGGTAGACATGGTGTCCCTGGCCTCTGTTTCTCTGGAGGTGGGTGACAGGGGAGGGACCACGTGAGGATTCCCTGTTGTGTTTCCTCCCTCTGGCGCGTCTGGTATTGGCCACTGTTGGCAGACAGGATACTGGGCTGGATGTACCGTTGTTCTGACCCAGTATGGCCATTTTTATATACTTAGAGCTTCGTTGGCATCAAAAGTGTGCCACAGTTTCTCTTTGGAATGCAAGGAGCTAGCCAGGGGATGGAAGGACAATTTTCTATGCTCTGCACAGCCAGGTATGAAGGCAAGCTTGATTCTGAGTACCACTTTATCTTTATTGAAAGTGCAGTACTGCGGTTGGGGGAAGTGTGCGAAGCTCCCAACTACTCAAATCGTGAGAACCCAATTGACTGCTATCAACAAGACCACGATCACGGTTAGAAAATAAGACACCTTCAAGAGTGGTTCAAATGGAGGGTCTGTAATAGCCCTGGGAACGGAGTTAAGATCCCAGAAAAGGAATCTGCCCACTTCAGGAGGATCTAGAAGAAATGCTGCTTTCAAAAAAATGCTGGGCATTTGGGTAGAAAGAAATTCATTACTTCCCTGTTTCACAGAGGATGCTAGACACAGCAGCAATTTGACCTCCGAATGTCTAAAATCATAGAATCATAGAATAATAGTACTGGAAGGGACCTCGAGAGGTCATCGAGTCCAGCCCCCCGCCCTCAAGGCAGGATCAAGCTCCGTCTACACCATCCCTGACAGATGTCTATCTAACCTGTTCTTAAATATCTCCAGAGAGGGAGATTCCACCACCTCCCTTGGCAATTTATTCCAATATTTGACCACCCTGACAGTTAGGAATTTTTTCCTAATGTCCAATCTAAACCTCCCCTGCTGCACTTTAAGCCCATTACTCCTTGTCCTGTCCTCAGAAACCAAGAGGAACAAATTTTCTCCTTCCTCCTTGTGACACCCTTTTAGATATTTGAAAACCGCTATCATGTCCCCCCTTAATCTTCTTTTTTCCAAACTAAACAAGCCCAGTTCATGAAGCCTGGCTTCATAGGTCATGTTCTCTAAACCTTTAATCATTCTTGTTGCTCTTCTCTGTACCCTTTCCAATTTCTCCACATCTTTCTTGAAATGTGGCGCCCAGAACTGGACACAGTACTCCAGCTGAGGCCTAACTAGTGCAGAGTAGAGCGGCAGAATGACTTCACGAGTTTTGCTTACAACACACCTGTTGATACAACCTAGAATCATATTTGCTTTTTTTGCAACAGCATCACACTGTTGACTCATATTCAACTTGTGGTCCACTATGACCCCTAGATCCCTTTCTGCCATGCTCCTTCCTAGACAGTCGCTTCCCATCTTGTATGTATGGAACTGATTGTTCCTTCCTAAGTGGAGCACTTTGCATTTCTCTTTATTAAACCTCATCCTGTTTACCTCTGACCATTTCTCTAACTTGCTAAGGTCATTTTGAATTATGTCCCTATCCTCCAAAGAAGTTGCAACCCCACCCAGTTTGGTATCATCTGCAAACTTAATAAGCGTACTCTCTATCCCAATATCTACATCATTGATGAAGATGTTGAACAGTATGGGTCCCAAAACAGACCCTTGAGGAACTCCACTTGTTATCCCTTTCCAGCAGGATTTAGAACCGTTAACAACAACTCTCTGACTACGGTTATCCAGCCAATTATGCACCCACCTTATCGTGGCCCTATCTAAGTTATATTTGCCTAGTTTATCAATAAGAATATCATGCGAGACCGTATCAAATGCCTTACTAAAGTCTAGGTATATGACATCCACCGCTTCTCCCTTATCCACAAGGCTCGTTATCTTATCAAAGAAAGCTATCAGATTAGTTTGGCATGACTTGTTCTTCACAAACCCATGCTGGCTATTCCCTATCACTTTATTACCTTCCAAGTGTTTGCATATGATTTCCTTAATTACCTGCTCCATTATCTTCCCTGGGACAGACGTTAAACTGACCGGTCTGTAGTTTCCTGGGTTGTTCTTATTCCCCTTTTTATAGATGGGCACAATATTTGCCCTTTTCCAGTCTTCTGGAATCTCCCCTGTCTGCCATGATTTTTCAAAGATCATAGCTAAAGGCTCAGATACCTCCTCTATCAGCTCCTTGAGTATCCTGGGATGCATTTCATCAGGACCTGGTGACTTGCTGACATCTAACTTTCCTAAGTGATTTTTAACTTGTTCTTTGTGTATCCTATCTTCTAAACTTACCCTCTCTCTGCTTGTATTCACTACGTTAGGCACACCTCCAGACTTCTCGGTGAAGACCGAAACAAAGAAGTCATTGAGCATCTCCGCCATTTCCAAGTTCCCTGTTACTGCTTCTCCCTCCTCGCTAAGCAGTGGGCCTACCCTGTCCTTGGTCTTCCTCTTGCTTTTAATGTATTTATAAAAGGTCTTCTTGTTTCCCTTTATGCCTGTAGCTAGTTTGATCTCATTTTGTGCCTTTGCCTTTCTAATCTTGCCCCTGCATTCCCGTGTTGCTTGCCTATATTCATCCTTTGTTAGTTGTCCTAGTTTCCATTTTTTATATGACTCCTTTTTTATTTTGAGATTGTGCAAGATCTCCTTGTTAAGCCAAGCTGGTCTTTTGCCATATTTTCTATCTTTCCTACACAGCGGAATTGTTTGCTTTTGGGCCCTTAACAACGTCCCTTTGAAATACTTCCAACTCTCCTCAGTTGTTTTTCCCTTCAGTCTTGCTTCCCATGGGACCTTACCTACAAGTTCTCTGAGCTTATCAAAATCTGCCTTCCTGAAATCCATAACCTCAATTGTGGTGGTCTCCCTTCTACCTTTCCTTAAGATCATGAACTCTATTATTTCGTGATCACTGTCCCCTATACTGTCTTCCACTTTCAAGTTCTCAACTAGTTCCTCCCTATTTGTTAAAACCAAATCCAGAACAGCTTCTCCTCTGGTAGCTTTTTCAACCTTCTGAAACTTTCTGTTTCAGAATGCCAGGTCCAGCATGAATCCATGATACTGTGATAGAGGCAGTAGTGAGGCCTCTGTCTTAGAAATAAACCTGAAGCAAATCCCTGAGCAGACTGACTGAATTAGATTTTCTGGAAGCTAAAATTATGGACATTTCTTCTTCTGAATAACTCAGCAGCTAGAGACAACACCCTTATCCGCTGTCCAAGCCATTCAGCTTGACCTCCTTAACACAGAATTAACCTTCTCAGAGCGCATGAGGAGAGATATACAGCTACAGCTTGTCTAGGGTATCTGCAGAATTCATGATCATAGTTTATAGTGCTCGGTAGGCTCTTGCCTGAAAGAGGCTAGCCTTTGTGGGAGGGGTTTTATTTTTTGAATATATATTTTACTATTGAGTTTTTAAACTCTGGCCTTTTTCCCCCAACAAGGAAGAATTTCCTGTGTAGACGTGCAGGCTCAGAGGCATCAGCACCTCTATGGCCTGGGTTTTTCTGCATCTCTCTCTCAGGCTGCTGTCTGAAGGTGAGCAGGGGAATCTGGACCTGAGGGTTACTGACCATGCTGCGTTGTGCAGATTTATATTGCTCGAGGGAAACATTTCACTTTGTGCCATTTAGAGCACCATCTGAAGGAAGCTGTGGGGAGAAGAAAGGGAATCCCTTCTGCTGATAAAGCCAAAACCTGGAGACATGGGAGTTTCTCGGTTTTGTTTTTTGCTCTGCAGCATTAGGGCAGAAGCTACATTTCCCCTGCTAATAATTGATAGGTCTGGTCCATCTCCACGGCTGCATGGAACAGAGACCCTGCAATGTTCAGATCTGTGGTCCTCATTAAGAATGAGAAAACAGAACTAGCTAGACTAAAGCAAGAGCCTGAGGATTCATGGTGTATTTCAATGCAAAGAAACCTCAAGCGATATGGTTAGGCTTAAGAAACGAGGAGAGAGGATTATACCATCAATGGTCAAAAGCTACAAAACTCTAAGCAGAAGGGGTTGGAGGGTATGGAAGATTAAACTTTAAACCTTCAATACATTGCTTAATAGAGTAAAAAGGCAAAAATACATTAAGATGCATCAATAGAGGTGTCAAATTTATGCTGTAACTCTGTATAGGGGTTAGTGCAATCATGTTTGGAATCTTGTGAGTGACTAATAGATTTTCCATAAAGCAGAAACATAGAAGAGAAGAAGATCTTACATAGGGCAGCCAGAAACACACAGGGCCCTAGGCACAGATATTATGTAGGAACTACATTAAGATACATACAAATTTTGAAAAAAGTAGACAATGATAGACCATACAATGCTCTGAGAGTCTGTGTCAAATACAAGAGGAATAGACATCAGTTTACGCTACAAAATGGATTTTATTCCATATTTTACCATTTAAGCAGCACAATATAACAATAAGAAACACTAATTTATAAGTTACAAGGAAGTAATAGGTATTTACAGTGAAAACTATTGCTCCAAGAAACAGATAAAAACCTCAAATTGCATTTCTGGCTTCATTTCATTATAAAGTTTCCTATTTTCACATACAAAAGCAAAGCTACATTAAAAACAGGAGTCATTTTTCTCAACAACATTAATTAAAACCTCATGAAGACACAAGTCATATTTTCATAATATTTCTCTTATGCTTTTTCTCCCCTTAAGCTTTCCTCCCTATGTAGAAAACTGGCTGAGAACTATCTTTAAAATTTGTAAATACAACTTTCAAACAAAATTTCAGCCTTCACACATTCATCCATAACATTCAAGGCCACTTATAATGGGTCATACATGCTATCATTTGTTTGAAAATAGCAGTCTTCCATTTGGAAGGTAGATATATTCTAATCAGCTTTGATCTGTTACAAGGAGAGAATTGAGAGCTGTCAATCATTTGTTTTGTTAAACTCCACCTCCCACCCAAAAAGTTCCAGAACACAAATTCACTGTTTTGATACTTACTCATCAAGCAATCAGGATCCTCAGGATATGTCTAACACTGAAGGTACTACAGAGGCACAGCTGTTGAAGCTATGCTACTGTAGTGCAGACACTTGCTACAACATTGGAAGGGGATTTTACATTGCTGTGGCAAATCCACTCAAGAGTCAGTAGCTAGGTTGATGGGAAAATTCTTCTGCCAACTTGGCTGAGTCTATACTAGGGTTGACTTCACTACTTTTCTCACATCATTGTGCAAGTTAAACAGGTTGATCTAAGTTGTGTGTGTAGACACAAAACAAACACTGCTATTACAAGTAGGGATGTGAAAGGTTAGCCTTTTAACCACTTAACTGGTAAGCATCACCCTAAATGGGCAATGCTTAGAACATAAGAACGGCCAGACTCGGTCAGACCAAAGGTCCATCCAGCCCAGCGTCCTGTCTACCCAGTGGCCAATGCCAGGTGTCCCAGAGGGAGTGAACACACCGGGGAATTCTCACCCACTTCCAGAGAAACTGCTGCTAGGGACACCATTCCTACCCATCCTGGCTAATAGCCATTGATGGTCCTAACCTCCATGCTTACCAGTTTCAATTAACCGGCAAGGGCTGGAGCAGCTCCCTGCCCACCCTAGGCTGCCTGGAGCAACCCCTGTCCGTGGTGGCTCCGGCCCAGCCCTCCCCCCAAATGCAGGTTATAGGCTGGGTCCCTGGGAGCGGGAGCTGACTGCAGAGCCCACAGCAAAGCCTCCTTGGAAGTGGGGCTGGCAGCCCTTTCCGGCTCCGCTCCGCTCCTGGGGAGGAGGCTTCGCTGAGCGCTCTGCAGAGCCTGCAGTGAGGAACTGCTAGAAATGTTAGTGGTTACATGGTTACCTTTTTAAACACATTTTTATATCCCTAGTTACAAGCTGCCAAAATCTGTAAGCACTGTGTTAATCGTTATTTTGAAAGATTCCTTAAAAATACATAAAGTTTTAAAAGCTGCAATCAACTACAGTAACTTTCAATCCATTTCTGGATGTTTCTTTAATCAATGTAAATCATTAGGAATGGGCAGGTAGTGGCTGAAAACTATGGAGAAACAAATGAGAACAGGAAATGGTCAGGTTCCTCTGATATTTCCTTTGTGTTTTGGAAGTTTTACAAAATTTCATTTATAAACCTCACTTAAATGAAGATTAAACCATTAAAAATATAAAGAATTGGATGTTTCTTTTTACCTGAATAAGAAGCATTTCTCTCCTTCCACTGAACGTTTTTGCATTTTATTTGATTTTGTCTCTCTTTTCGTAGTCGTTCTAGTCTCTGAGCTTGAAAAGAAATATTATTACTATAAGTTTGTCAATGGAAGTTTACTATAAACAAAGACATAATTAACTATCTTCATATGAATAAAGATGTTTTATACCGCATATGTAGGGGGGAAAGTCATAAAATTTTAAAGGTGGCACCCCTGAAAAGCAAATACCAACAAAAACATGAAAGTGTGCTTGATTTATAATTGAAATTAGAGGATATAAAACATTAATAGAGATCATAAAGATAGTATTAACATGGAAGAGAATAATAAAATGTGAAAACTTCTGTGATTAATATGACATTTCATTATATAAATCATTAATAACGGTCTTAAAGGAATTTTAATGCACAAATGAACTCAAGTGAATATTACATTACAGGAATAAAATTACTGTTATGAATTACTCTACCCGTTTCAAAAATTAAAGATAAATGAACTCAGACTAGACTATTAAAGTTTTAAATATAAAATCCTTTATCTAAAAATCATGAAAATTATAAAATGTCAAAGCTATATAAATTAGCATAGCTTTTTCTTCAGTGTGCTGAAACAGTTTATAGGTAGTAAAATAAATGATTTGTATCTTCACAACATTAGTCAAATATTAAAAATGAATATAATATTTATTTATAGATTTTGATTCCATCTCCAAAATAGGGTTTGAATATAAGGCTCAACCGTTAAAAAAACAAACAAACAAAACCCACCAAGCAATTCAGACCTCAGGATCTCTACTCTCCCTTGAAATTCACTGATTGTTAACACCAGATTTCTCTCAGGAGACAAACTGTCAACTAAATAATCTGGTAGAAGCTACCCCAGAAACCAACCACTGGAAATAATCACTACAGTAAACTGACCATTACCAGGAAGAGAGCACACTAGACTGGCAAGTAGAAGTAATGAATCTGATAATTTGAAAAAACAATTTTCTGGATATATTAGCAATTTTGATGTATTGTGATCATTTATTAACTAAAATGGCCTCTTAAAGGAGATTTTAAAATACTAATTACTCTGAAAATTCCTGTACATTCTTACCAATAAAAAATACGCTGATTAATATATTCTGTCTCCTTTCTTTATACTTGGAATTGCACTCAAGATGCAAATGTTGGCTCAGCAGCTAGCATTTTACCAAGTATAAGAACTCTTAGCCAAAGCATCGATGAAAAAAGTTATTTTAGATATATCAAAAAAGTAACTTACTGTGGGGAAAGTACATGAAACATCTTTGCTCATAACTGTAAACATGAAGCTGGATGCTCTTCCATTGTGAGTTTACTTTTAAAAAGTGAAGCCATTTATCTATAGTTCAAAACATTCTTCTGGGACATATTAAGCATCAATCCCTCAAAATTTCCTCTCTTCAGAGGCATACAAAATACTTCTGGTAAATATATCTATATTTGGAGTAGCTTTTTCAGTGTTTTAAATTATCTTCAGATTTCCCTGAAGCCAATGGGGAAGAAATCGGGAAACTAGAAAATGTAGAAACATAGAATTTTCTGGTTTTTTTTTTTGTAATTAACAACAGGTCAATTTCTTAAACAGGGAAGCTATTTATTTCAGTGCATGGGACCCATTTAAGCCAACTCAATCGCTAAGTCCTGTCATGTCCCTCAGTGGAGAGAGGGTAGAAAGGGTACATATTAAAGAAAGTGTTTTGTGCCATCCTTTTTAAGTCCTACAATTTTTCTCAGGAGATGCGGTACATGAATTCTATCTTCCCTAATCCTTGTGGCTTCCTCTCACAAAGCCTTAGGGATCTGGCTGTGTGTTAGCAAGGGTTAATTTTACCTTAAAAGAATAAATGGAGATGTGTAATTATTCCATCTCAACACAATTCCTCTATCAGTTGGTTCCAAATTATCATTCATCGCATGATTGTACTACAGCCACTCCAAATTACAGAGAATTATCAGTATCTATTAGAAGTCTGAATTATTTAAGGTTCAGTCTCATAAATGTATTCGTTTGCAAGCATTCAGTGTCAAAAATTTCACTGACCATATGTATATCTGCTTCTATTAAATATTAAGAGCTAAATGAACCTTTGCTGCTAGGCCTGAGTTTGGAAGAGATGTAATTTTCTACAGCCCTTTCTTAGGTGTAGCATACTCCCCCCTTACTCTGGCTAATACTCTGTGGACTGGCTTTTATTTTTTTGTGGGAAATCAAGTAACTGCGCTCTATCTACCTATCTACTATGGCAAAGAGAAAAATACTAGATTGACAAGCCCCTATGCTCCCCACAATGCCTCCTCCAGGGTCTGGAAAGCCCTTGCATGGCCATACAATGCGTCTTACTTATTTTACAACCTTGCACCCTGAGATGATTTTCAAGGTTTTTCAACTTTTCAATAAATTAAGTCAAACTAAACCTGCTTTAAAATGTCACCTGGTGTATGAGTGCCCAAGAGCCACTATTTCTGTAGGGCCTGTAACAATGCAGGGACTCTCCTCTGCTGCAGTAAAATGCTTTTTTTCCAGTGCTTGTCAGACATCAGCAGTACATGGATAAGTTACTAAGGCTGTATAATCAAGCAGCTTTTTAGAGGGTAAGAATTTGAATACAATTCCATCCAAACCCAAAGCAGCAAGTGGTAACTCAACCGGCAATTCTTTTAAAAATGTATTGATGGGTACTGAAACCATGGTGTGTAAACATGAGATTATACTTAAAAAAATTTTTTTTTAAATTGCCACTATCCATGGGAATATCCATACTCTATTCCAATGTAAATTGTTTCACCTATGCTACAAGGAATATACAAAATCTAGCTAACAAAAATTATCTTATGGCTCAAAGAGATGAAAGAACTGGCTGCAGTTCCTTAGATAAGATTATATTTTGCACTTCAAGCAGGGATTCTAGACATGAAAACAAAGCACTACTTCTCCAAAATGATGGGACCCGCTCTGAGAGCAGAATGTATTTTCTAAGAATTTACAAGTTAATTTTAATTCTTAAATTTATTAACAGATTAAATAGACTGTGAGCCCTTTAAGATATTCAGCATCTGGTTCCCGACCACGTTTCCCCCCAAATTATCTTAATAGTGCATAACTTAATGCAGACTCTTCCAACTTCCCATACAGGTAAATCTCATGTAATGGATAAAATTCATACAATTTTTATGATTACGAAGTTATTTTTGTCATTTTTCTTTACAAATGAAAGTTTATCCTACAGCAGAGCTGAAGAATGATGCTCTAATATAGGGAATTCCACAAAAAACTGCTCTCTTTCCAAGTGGCTGCCACCTCTTATTACTCTGAATAGAACTGAGGTCAGAGATGTCCTCCTCTGAAATAGCCACTGCAAACATTGTTTATTATGAGAATGAAGACAAGTGGCCTCAGGAAAGTTGGCCACCCCAAGAGAATAGAAATGTTCACATTTATGCAACAGTTTCCCCATACAAAAAGTTCCTAACTCCGGGCAGTTAATAGCTTATTTATGCCTCAATGCATGAAGATTTATATGCCCGTGTACTTTTTTTATTCTACCTAACCACATTGTGCATGTTATACAAACATCTGGTCCTTTTTTGATTCTAGTGAAGCTCTTGCACTTGACAGGTTCTGACACTGAGCACTTCAGGTGAATTCATTTAATGTGTGTCTTGTGCAAAAAGGTTTTACTATTTTAAAAACTGTTTCCTTTCAGTTTCTTTGGATGCCCCTTGTTCTTGTATTATGAGAAAGAGCAAATAAAATGACCAATTTTACCTTCTCTGTGTTATTCATTGTTTCAGGTCAAGCGCTCTGTAGGTCTTAATTGTTTCACCTACATGGCAGTGGCAGTGTCCAGAGAAAGATGAGGGAGGTTCAGGAGAAGGGGAAAGGACAAAAATCTGGCATCAGCTTGGGTGCCAACTGGATTAACTATGCTAACAACCATTTTAAACCTGCCACTAACTGGGAAGTTCCGTGGTTTCAGATTAGAATTTAATGAAGTTTCTTTTTATTTCCCCACACTGTGCAATTATCTATGCCACTTTTTGGAGCAATTCAACAAAATTTTGAGCTTTCCTTCTCCACTCTGTTGTCCTGCAACAACAAATGAACTGAATTAATCTCTGAACGAAAATGCCATGCAGTCTGGCACTTTTTACCCTGCTACATGGAAGTAAGTTTCAGCTAGTCCTAGGACTCTGAACTGGATTCACAGATCTTATTTCCAGATTTAGCAAGATGCCTTAATAATCGTGAATCAACCGTACTGATTATTTTTCACTTTTGACAATATATTACCTTTCACAAAGCATCTTAAGATACTTATCACTGTACATCACATTTATGGGTACGCAGAATTTAGTTAAACTTACTCCTGAGCTGTAGGTGGTGGTGTACTAACTGCAAAAAAATTATTTCAGAAATGTATGTTCCTACAAAGAAAGAGATGATCTTCCTACTTCAACACTTGAGCATTTCAGAACATATTCTTCCTTGGGGGCTCTGTGTACCAATTCCCACATTCCCCTACTGAAAAGAGAGGCAGGAGAGGGATGTTTTCTCTAACAAAAACTAAGCCCTTAGCATCTATTGAAAAGGTAAATATCCTTAAATTAGCGTATTCTGAGAGCTCAAATCCTAATTAAGATTTTTGTACTACTGCAGATGTAAGACAGTAGACGTCAAAGATGAAAAAGCAGGTGGATCACTGAGTCTGCCTTTCTTCAAATGAAAAATTTAATTGCCCTCCACGTAGGAGACATGTCAAGTTATTAATCTGACAATACATTTGGTACTTTAGATGCCTTGTCTGTGAAACTTCCCATTTGCGGATCTCCTAGAGCAGCGGTTCCGAACCTCAGGTCTGTGGACCAGCGCTGGGCTGGAAACTGCTGGCTGCTGGGCCACAGTGGCTCTGAGGGCAGAGGCTGGGGTACACACCCCAGCGCCTCCCTTCCCACCGCGGCTGTTGGGAGAAGCGTGTCCTGCCCTGTCTCTTAGTTAACCAGGGGTGGGGTCTCCTTCAGGACTCAGAAGAACAATTTGCTCTGTGGTGGGAAGGCCACGCGGAGCCCGGCAAGGAAGCTTTACAGCAACTGTGACCCAGACAGCAGTGCTCAGATGGCAGCTGGGAGGCAGTGCAGGGCTAGGTGAGGGGGGGTGGGGCAGGCAATGGGGACTCCAGGGGCAGGGCTAGTAGTGGTGGGCTACAGGGGCAGGGCTGGCACAGGGGGCTCTGGGGATGGGGCTAATACTGGGGACTGGGGCTGGCATGGGGGAGGAGGGCTTCGGTGCAGTGGGGCTCTGGAAACAGGAGGCTGGCACTGGATGGGTTGGGTGCAGGAGAGTCTGGGATCAGTGGTGGCGCTGGGGGCAGTGGAGAGATAGGGGGACTCTAAGGGTTAGGGCTGGCCGTAGGGGCGTACCACAGCCCCCAGAGCAGCCATAAACAGTTGACTTCAGCTGTGGCAGCCACCTGCCACGTGGAAACTGCTGAAGATGAAGCCACGTGTTCGCGGCAGCTCTGGGGCTTTTGGTGGATGGGTTTTCTGCCAACAGAGGGATGCAGTCTAGACATACCCCAAGACTCCTATCATTAAGCAGACAGGGTTTGAAAAGTTTAGTGTGCATGTGGGGGGGAGGCGAGGGGCTTTCTTGTTATTGTGGCATGCAGTTTTTAAAGACACCTGCTCTGTTATCCTAGTTTTATGCATTCAGCAGTATTAGAACTCAAAGTTAATTATGATCAATATTCTGCCAACATCTCACTCAAGTTTTACACAAGAAATGTGGTAAATACAAAGTATAAATGTATCATATACTTCTGTACTGTGTTTCATTCCATCTCTCCCCTTCGGTCTCCTCCAACATTATGTATCAGTCTTTTCATTACATATTTCCTAATGCCTTCCCTGTCATCTCTTCAATAGACTATTACCCCAGTTTTCTTGCCCATCTACAAAATCCTTTTGTCTCTTTATTCAGCTGTTTAATTGTTTTTAATACTTCAGGCCAGAATGACTAGATTTGGTGCCCCACTAGGTAGAGTTTATTTTCCTAAAACACAGGAAATTCAAGGCCATGAAATTCCTGTCAAAATCAGTTTACAATGCCTAAATGAAATAGGCTCATCGAGTATTTTATTTCCAAAAAAGATCTAGTTGCCTAGCCTAATGTTACAAAAGAAAGGCTTGAAGAGTAAGTAGCTACTTGCATTGTGATGACTGGTCCAAGCAAGTCAAGTTAGCCTTTTGTTCGGGTTTCTAATCTGACTGGTATGTTGCTGTGCTTTCATTTTGTTTTGTTGGGGGGAGGGAGGAGGGGAGAAGGTGCGAATAGCATTTACCTGTATTTGATCGTCTTCTAATACCAAAGTCCCAGCTTGAGGTAATATCGACTGATTGGGAATATACATAACCCTGAGTGTCTCCATTGGTTCCCTGCATTTCCGAGCCACTGTCCCCAGTCATTGAAGAAGGATTGAATTTCTCTACATCAACATCATGATCTATCAGGACCATTTCACACATTCCTGTGTCATCACTGGTCACATGTGACTGCCGAATATGAGCCAATATAATTGCTGGGTTGTCCAGAAAGGCCATCCTGTTCACAACTCCACCACCTTACTATGCTATCTTCTCTCCATGCTGCTCCATGGATAATCTTACCTGAAAACATAAAATATACAGGACTTTAAGAACAAGAGTGTGATTCATGTTTACTCAGGATGTTTCTGTCATAGCTAATACTCAGTTTAAATTTTGGATAACTAAGTTTTACGCACTGAATTACTTTAATTTCATGTTGACATCATACAACTATTTACATAGTGAGTAGAAAAGTGGCAACCATTTGTCCTGGGGCGCAGTCTTAATTAAAAAGATAACTTAGAAAATAAAACAAAATGTCTCCCCAAAAGTAGAGAGTACCATCTTGTAATCATTAATTACAATGCACCTGCCCGCTACACCCAGGAAGGAGTTTCCTTTACACATTTAACATCTTCTCCCTTTCCCTTCTATTTAATATTGTCAGCTCTCCACACTCTGATAACATCAATCACTGTATGTGATTTGCTTTTCATCCACCCCTATAACAATGCTGTATTTCCATTCCTCTTCTTCTAAGGCAGTCTTCCTCCTACCTTCTCTGCATGCTGCCCCTTCAATGTTTGGTTTTAGCCAGCACCCCTTAAACCAGACGCTTCCTGAAATGGACTCTCGGATTTACTGATCAGTCAGTTGATTACACTCCCTCCGTTTCACCCCTTTCTCCCTGAGCTCTCTCCAATTTTCGAGTTCTGCTCTTCACACCGTCTCCTACCACACATACGACTTATTGTTGAAAAGTAGGTGCAGGAATCAAATGCATGTCAAACCATTTGTTCCTTCAGCAAGAAACTAATAATTAGACCTAAAAATTGAGGCATATGTTTAAAGCGGGAACTTTCTTTAACTCCAAATATGCATCCTACAAACTGAGGTTCCAGGAGAAACTTAAAAAAAAAAAAAAAAAAGAAGAAGAAAAGGTTTGCATCTCAGGACAGAACAGTGAACCGGCACTGCTGCACAATGGAGTTTGATAGGAACGATGTAAACGTAGAACTGTTTAAACAGTTAACCAATAAGCCTGGGTATATCGGTTAGCATTCACGGCTATCCACAAGCTCCTGCCCAGCTCCTGGGGAGCTGGCTGCCACCATGCACTGCTGGCTCTGTGGGGGTGGTAGCAGGCTCCCCAGGAGTAGGGCTGTAGGCAGGTGCCAGTGCGCACTGAGGGAGATGGCTGCTGCCCCATGTCACTACCCCTGTACCCCTAGGAGTGGGACTGGCAGGCGGCAGCAGCCAGCGTGCGCTGGCTTCCAGGAAGCTGACTGCCTCCTCATGCTACTGCCTCTGACACAGAGTAGGAATGGTAGGAAGTGAGTGATCAGCTAATCGTGTAGTCGACAGAAATTCTGTTGACAACACAATTAGTCGATAGGGCTGGAAGCCTCCGGAAGCAGCTCTGCAGTTTAAATGTAGCAAGAGCTAGGTGTGCAGGCTGCTGGCTCCTACTATATTTAAGCTGTAGAACTGCAGGAAAGGCAGCTCCTGGACCTGGTGCTAGCTGGGACTGAGCTGGGCCGGCTCCCCCTGGGGACAGCCTACGGGTGAGTGTGATTTGGGATACAGCTTCCGGGTGCATCTCATTTAACCAGCCCCCTCCCTTACCCTCCCGTCCGGGCCCTGGGCGGGGAACCTCAGCAAGTGCCTGTCCGCTACACAGCGCCATGGGCAGGATCGACCAACTCACCAAGGGAGAGGGGGATGTGAGCAGAATAGTCGAGTACTTGACTACTCGCTTACATCCCTAATACAGAGGCAACAGCATGGGAGCAGAGTTAAAAGCTGCGGGTGTGTATGAACGGTTACACAATTACCCGCTTTTTAACATCCCTATCATGTACCACAAGGGTCTGTGTCAGCCCAGAATACACACCAGCATATCTGTACAGGTTGGAGCTCCCTGGTCCAGCCCCTCGGGACCTGAATGGTCCTGGATGAGGGATTTTTCCAGACCAGAGGAAGTCATTTCAGCCCTCCCACCCTTCGCCAGCCCTCCCCCCTCAGCTTCCCGGCTCCTCCCACAGCCCAGCTGGGCCATGCACCGGCTCTCAGCCCCTCCCCAGGCCAACTGAGCAGCTCGCTGGCTCCTGGCGCCCTCCTCTTTCCCCGCAGCCCAGCTGAACCCAACTGCCAGCTCCCTGCCCCTCCTCGTAGCCCAGCTGAGTCATGTGCCGACTCCCAGCCCCTCCACCCCCTGCAGCATGCTGAGACTCTCTGATCCTGGAACATCCATGGTCATGCCAGACCACAGATGTTGCGGGACCAGAGAATCCTGGATTTTAGACGTGCAACTTGTATTAAGCAGCTAGAAGCAATAGTAGCACTGAAGTTCAACAATGACTGTCACATACCAGTTACTAATGGTGGAAAGACAGTCAAAGTTATGGAGGCATCCAAAAGCAGCTTTACAAGCATCATATTATGGGAATCTGACAACTAATGTCTCAAAAATCAAAATCCAACATCACAAAATACATAATCTTCACTGTTTTAACCCTTGTCTGTTGTCATTTCTTGTTGTTGGTCTTTGATGGAGAGATTGTGTCCTGTTTTTGTTTTGTATAGAGCTGTGTAAATTGCATAAATATTATTGCATTTCATAAATATTAAATAATCGTTCCAGCACTGTGCAGGACTTGAGCAAAATGGGAGAAAAGAAATCCTGCATTCCATTTGTTAAAAAACACACCTCTTTGGAATAACTCACCTCCTCCCACAACAAGTTTAGTAAGTTACATTAACAATGTCTAGCTGTTTTTTGGCAACTTTGATTAAGTTACAATTACGTATGTCTACATAGATTTCTTTCACTAGAAAAATAAATTGTCTGCTCTATAAAGATTTCTCAGTCTCCTAAAAATGAGACACCATAGGGCACACGTCCCTTTACTATAATTTGCCAGCAGAAGGCCTTTAAGTAAGAACCAGCACAGTACAACTAAGTACAGTAGAATGGATATTTAAAAAGAAAATGTCTCCCAGGGTTGTGTACTGTGAATGATCTTTAAATATAATTATTTACACCTCACTTAGTATTGGGAAAGGCACTGCTCACCTGCAAATTGTAAGAATGTGTTTAAATAAGCAGCAGCCTTAGGCTTCTAAAGGGACGGCAAACTCCAATCAAAAATTACTGCTGCCCCATCAATGTGTCATATAAATGTTGGCATGTTAATTGTGTATTTATAAGATTGTTAATGGTTAGTTAATTTACCTCCCACACTATTATTGTGCTTGAAATGATTTAATGTCTGCTAAGGGAGTTAACAACATGTAACAACAGATGTGAGAGTTTTACCTTTCTACACTGTACCCCGACTTCAAGCTTTTTTGCACTCAGCATGCTAAATTGCCCCGGTTTCCTTACAGTCTTACACATGCAATCACTTTGTCTATTCATAATTATGGGAAAAGTCCCAAGAAATTATTTGTTCAAATCTAGAGTTGAACAAAAACAACCTTTTTTATTTCTAATTTTAGTGAAGACGCATTAAAACCTCTTCTGTCCTAAATGTATGTTATCCGGAAAGCCTTAAAAATTCCACCAAACTTCTCATCCTGACTAGGGATGTAAAACCCAATTCTTTACGTAACCAGTTACACGGTAAGTTTAACTAGTTAGTGGATTAAAAGGGGGCAGGCAGGAGAGTCACTGCCTGCCACATGCCCGGGCCGGGGCTGCCATGGATGTGGGCTACTGCAGCCAGACGGGAGGAGCCCCTTGCCCACCGTGAGTCCTGCGGGGCTGGAGCAGCTCCATGTAACAAGTAAGCCACTCACATCCCTAATTGTGACAGTGCGAAGACTATTCATCAAGTCCTGATCCCTCCCCCCAGGATTTTAGCACTTGCCATCTTTATCATTATCCGTTCCTGCTTCTGACAGAGGCAAAACATAACGCAGTGTCACAGTTCTGAGATGAGGCACAAAGGCAAAGAACTTCTCAACTTTCTAAACCCTTACAAGAGAAACCTTATCAGTGAGACTGCTCAGTAGAGTATAGATTTTCGGGCCAGGTTCCTTAATCCAGTTGGCTGGGGCAATGTACCACAGCTCATGTGCTCCTCAGACGCAGGACTGATTATTGCAACTCAACATGCAGTAGCGAGATGTAAGAACATTTCAGATCACTATTACCACTTCAGCAAATCACAGATTTTGTGTTTTTACATCAAAACCTTAATGTTATTTTAGCACTGTGCACTTCACTGATACTGCCTTATTTAATGATAGTATAATTTATAGACAAATTTTATATATATTGCATACAAAACATTAAAAGTAATAAGAAACCTACAAAACCATAACTTTGCCTCCCTGGGTATGATATAATTACATGATCGCAGACTACTTATCCACAAAGTCTTCATCTCATTGCACATTGCTCAGTGATGAGGCAATTTTTTCGTTATCTTTATTGTTCAGTGTGTGACTCAATGTCCCACCTTCTGCACATCATCCAATCTATGCACTGAACAGGGCCTCTTTCTCCCCGGGACTCTCCATGGGTCTGATCACTGTAGTATTAAAGCACCTCACAAATCTTCCTGAATTTACCCTCATACACGCCTGAGAAGTTATGTAGTATCTTCATCATTTTACAGACGCAGAACTGACCTACATCTGACTTATCCAAGCTTGCCCAGGAAGTCTATAACTGTTTCCTCACTGATTCTTGGGTCTCAGTACACTGATTTTATCATAACAAAAATTCTTCCTCCAGTAAACCATTGCTGCATTTGACACAGCAGGATGTTTCTGCAGTCAATGAGATTGCTTTATACATCAGCCTCATGTATAACAGAGCATACAAGGAGTAAAACAGAATGCTCCGGATACCAGACCGATTCACTACACAACCCCCTTTCCTTCAGCTGCTCAAAGAGTGCACAGTGGTCCTGGAAAAATAGTATGCAATCATAAAACTAAAGACAGTATCTCACTGCATACACAGGAATACATATATACAAAGAGCTCTCTCTAAATCTGGTGAGTCACCTTGTGATTTCTGGGTGCTCTTGGCATCATATTATTTCAATATAATATTGAATTTTTGGGTT